CTGGAGGCGGATGACAACGCGATGATCGTGGCGTGGTGCTCGCAAGTGGGGGTCCTGACCCATCCTTCGGTCGGCTGCTTCGTGACGCACTGTGGATGGAATTCGACGCTGGAGAGCCTGCTGTACGGCGTGCCCGCGGTGGGAATGCCTCAGAAGTATGACCAGACCACCAATGCGATGCTCATTGAAAGGGTGTGGGGGACCGGAGTCCGGGTGGATGTCAACGACGACGGTGTCGTGGGAGGCGAGGAGGTGAGGAGGTGCTTGGATGTGGTGATGGGAGAAGGTGAGAGGGGAATGACGATCAGGAGGAACGTAGAGGTGTGGAGGGAGAAAGTCGCGGAGGCTGTTGGCGACGGAGGGTCGTCCGATCGAAATCTGAGGGCACTTGTCAACGAGATTGGGAATGTAGAGGGGTGGAAGGAGAAAGTTGCGGTGGCTGTTGGTGGAGGAGGGTCGTCCGATCGAAATCTGAGAGCACTTGTCAATGGGATTGCAACATCTTGAAGATCTTGATCAAGATCATCATCATTAAGAAGATTTCTTAATTGGTATCGTCAATGAGATTGCTACATCTTGATCAAGATCTTGATCAAGGTCATCTTAATTTGTATTTTGGTATTTGGGTAGCTTCCGCCGCCTCGTGAGGATTGGATTTGATAATAAGAAACTTGCGTGTGTGATTGTTTTCCGAGACTTTAAAAATGTATTTCCAGTTTGGAAAAATATTTTCTAAGTATTTCCATTGCTTCCGCAGAAAAGATAAGCTCGTAATTTTAATATTTTAATTTAATATTTGTGTGGAAACTGAGTTGTTTATAACTCTATTTTAACTCAAAATTGATAATCCAGGGTATTAGGAAATGTTAAAAAAGGAAGTAAAGTGGTTGCCGTTTTGCAATTAAATCATATTATTCCATCTTTTAATCAAAAAAATTTGGTCCACTCTATTTCCGGATCTACATCTTGGAAATTTGTTAGATATTTTGTGTCAAAATCAAATATAATATTATATAGAAACATTTAAAATAATAAAGTGTGGTGTTACATGGACTCAAAAATATAAGATCTTATATAAGACAGGTGATGTGTCGGTCCTATGTTTTTTGGTGGCATTAGGGGCACACTTCCAACCACACCTCTAACCACACCCCCTCTCTCATTTGCTACAGTGCACCGGTCCCCACATGTGATTTTAAATTTTTAAAATCATATGTGAGGTCCGGTGTACTGTAACAAATAAGAAAGTGGGTGTGGTTGGGGGTGTGCTCCTATTATTTTCCTATGTTTTTTTGATCCCTAAGTCATTTTTCAATAATAAGTAGATAAAAAGAAGTTGTTGCATTGTATGGAGACAGTCATGATGTCACTATCATGTTATATCAATAGAGTCATGTCACCATAGGAACGAGGCAGTAGTTAAACATGGTGCACCTAATAAATGCATCCATTCACTAGTAGTAAACCTAGGCCAGAAAAAACTATCTAAATTGACTAGATTTCTCTTTAGTTACACCAACTTAGACGAAATTCCATGTCCAACAATACCGTTTAGGTTGAGTCAACCTAGACGGGTTTCTATCTAGGTTGATTTAACTAAACGGAATTCCATCTAAATTGACCAAACTAAATAGACGGACATCAACTTAAACGGAATTTAAAATTTCGCCTAAGATGCAACCTGGATGGAAATTTTCTATAGGTTGCATCCTATCTAGGTTGCATTCTAGATGAAAATTCCATCCAAAATACGTCCTAAACAGAATTTCCGTTTAGGATATAATCTAGACAAAATTTTTGTCTAGGTTGCTAAAAACCAATCTATACGGAAATTTTCGTCCAGGATAGCTTCCTAGATAGAACTTTTATCTAGATTATTATATTTTACTAAATTTTTTTAAATAATTGGCTCCCCGTACATTTTCGTTAACATGATATACACAGCAATACACATTTTCTTTATATTTGACACTGATATCCAATCAAATGTAATACACAATAATTATTCCAATCGGTACAGCAGTAGGTAAAATGGAAGAGCAACGTGAGATGACTTTAGGTTTTATTAATTTATTACGTGATGATTATATTGAAAAGGACTGAATTACGCACCAACAATCCAATCCAACATACATTTCAGTGAAAATCTATTTTACTAGAATATTTACAACAAATACACTACTAATACCAAGTCTCTAGCACACCAGGTAAACAATAGAGTACTCTTACTGTTAAAGTCTGATATCAAATAGTCGAATGGAGGAATTGATTAAGTTGGCAGATGTTCTCTAACCATCTGAATGTCTGGTTTTGGAATAAGTTGTTCTTCCATGCACAAATAGCAAATTATAAGAGGGTGAGGTTGGATTCTCCGGTTGTTCCTTTGATGATCAAGTCAGTGAGTTGCACAAGAATTTCTCAAATAATACTAATGAATCAGATGTATAAATCAGATGGATTCCCCGGGGAATCAGATGGATTCCCCGGTTGTTCCTCTGACGATCAAGTTAGTGAGTTGCACGAGAATTTCTCAAGGTAACAAGTAAGTGAAACAAGTTTTCTGCGCATTGGGATTAAACTAAACCAATTTTTTATCTCCATAAATAGTTGTAGAGATTGCAAAATATAATTGCCTAAAAGTTTGACAAAGAAGCCGATTTAACGGATCAGGAAAAAAAACACGGAAAGAACTATAACTACGGAGGCAATAATTATAGAAGGTATACTATGCATAGTTATTGATAATATGGCTGTTATAAAAGTCAATAGAAAATAATAATAACACATAATTGAAGCTAAAGAAAATTTTACGTTTTTTTTTCCTAGAGACTATCCTAAAAATAGGGCGATTTTACACAAAACATTTTTGATTTTTAATTTATACGTAAACCATTTTTAAAAAATATTTTTATTCCAATCAACCACCTCCTAGCCAAATGTTCAATAAAAACTAAAAATAATCTTAGAAAATGCAAGCTTACGAAGTGTGACTTGTATTGAATGTGAATTTTTAAGAGTATTTTTAAGTTTTTGCTAAAAAAATTTAACTTAAAGATGGTTGATTGGAATGAACCACCACTTTAAAAGTGGTTTATGTGTACATTAAAAGGTGGTTTCAATAAAGTAACCCTATATTTTAGGGTGGTTACAAGAAAAAAAACCCAAATATGGAGGAATGATTAGGCAGTTGGTGGGTTCTCAAAAATAAAAGGAATACATGGAATACTTTTTTCTATTGACCACTACATATACGGTCGCTGCCTAAAGGATGTCAGCTGCGAAACATTAGTAGCATAATTATAGAGAAAAAAGAATTAAATTCATAACATATAGAGGGGAATTTTTTTTGAATTCATCACATATAACCAAGACAAACATTAGCACGTTTAATTAATTCAAAATTAAAGGGAACAAGACAAACTCCTGTACAGTAACGCAAACAAGTTGATCTCCAGGAAAAAAGAAATACAAGGAAACCATGTAAGCCACAAAACCAAACCAGTGAGAACATTGACCCCAAACATGTTGGAAATTTACCAACTTTAAAGGTTATAGCATGCAGATAAATCTGAATAAAATAAATAAGCGATAAGAAAATCAGGCTTGACGGGAGCAGTCGTGTAATCACTGCCCTAGAAGATTGAGAACCTGTCTATCGCCCTAGCACAAATGGTTCTCTTTCCCCTAGCGGTAAAAGCCCCCGGAAACGGCCGGCCTCCGTACTCGGGCGAGAGTACAGAGCTTCAGCTCAGATGAAGAAGATTGCCCAAAAAATTAATAACTAAATTTATAGAGGGAAAAAACAATTTTCTTTAAACAAGAGGAAAGGAGAAAAACTTTATTTTCTTATGTTTTAGAATGTGAATAAGGGTGTATTTATAGGGTTGAGGGAGAGAGGATTCTTTTCAATTTTCCAATGTGGGACTAAAACACAAAGGCAAAATTGTCTTTTCTTAGTAAATATCCAACCCCCCCTCCCCAAAGGCAATATTGACTAAAAACTCAGAAATCAATAAATAAATCAAGAAATCATAAAAAAAAATATAGGTTGGGCAATCTTTCGTATCGTGTATTCGGGAGAGGTAGCTTCCGGCTTTGAACCTTTCCTTAGTGAGTTCATCGCCACCTGAGGGACATAATGGACTAGGCCTTGAATTAGGCCCCTTGAATCAGGTATTGATAAAAGCACACACAATACGCCTTCATCTATTGAGCAAAGCGGGTTGAGCGTTAAAGGCCATGCTCACAATAAACTGACTCATGAGAGTTTCTAGGGGTTAGCTCAGCCCCCCCCAAACCGCGGCCATCACGGTTCCTCTCACGTAGGTAAGTCCTCAAATGGTACTACAGCTGTTTATTTAATACCCCTCATAATACACACGATGGACTTATTAAGAGTAAAACTCAGCCTAGCCAGCTGTATCATAAGAGCATCGTCATCATAGAGAAGGGGTAGTAGCACAAGCTATATAGTGATATATGAATATATCATGGTCGATGCTCCACACGAGTGTCACTAGTTCAGCTTGTTACTACCACATTGAACCAACATTGGGACTAAGTTTCCAAATAAGGGTTGGGTTACCACTGTCAGTGACCTCTCTTATGGACTTAACCCCATCTCCCTCGATGAATCCAGAACCACACTCCTGGATAATCCCTTAGTCAAAGGGTCAGCAAAATTTTTCTCAGACTTTACAAAGTCCAAGATCATAACTTTGTCTATTAGGCGCTGTATTTATTTATCAAGTTCTTAAATTATTTTGTAATTAGTCCTTCATATTGTTTAAAATTAACATTAGGTCATCTTCTTGTTATGTTATTTAAAATTAGTCTCTCCAGGCAAGAGTACAAGAAGCAAGAGGAGAGATTAATTTCAAACAACTTATAAGGATAAGCCTAATAGCAATTTTTTTAATTATTTGATGGACTAATTTCAATATAATTTTTATTCATCATATAGAAATAAGTTATAAGATATACCTCTTGATTTGATTTTCCAGGACATTGATTTATCACATCTCCTGTAACTAGACATATTAGTTGACAGAGCATATTTATATCAATTCTGATCATTTCCTGAAATCTCAAGAGAAAGCATTATACATGTAGTCAAATGAAGAGCTATAAAATGATTCTTTCTAGTCACTATCAAAACATAAAAGATCATGGTCTATGATCGTAATCTATGTCTGAAGATGTAACTGCATAGTGTTTGTGCAGATTAAAATTTGACCTTAATATCTGAACATTTCAAACTAATGTGGAACTAAAAAACTACAGTTATATCTTTACATGCATGCATATGCACATACATGAATGAAATTAATAATAGATACATACAAAGCATTAAAGAGAACCTTATAATAGGATTTCGTATCTTAAAATATATTTCACTACATATGCATAAATTTTTTAAAAGTTATCTATTATAAGAGGTTGAAAATTTGGTTGCCTTTCAAAGAGACCATCCAAATTTAAATTGGTTGCCTTCAAAAGAGACCTTCCAAATTTAAATTGGTTGTCTACAAAGGAGACCATCCAAATTTACATGGTCATTTTCTAGTACCACCTCTTAGTAATAATAATATTATTTGTACATACGTGTTTTAAATTTTACAAGTGCATTCTTGCATAAAACCTTGTAATTAATCATGTGACAAATGACATATGAATATTTATTGTAATATCCATCATAATGCAATAAAAGAGATGAACTTTACATTTGAAGATTTGAAATATAATCCACCATATAAAATAGAATTTTAAAAGATGCACCT